AAGGCCTTTTTTGGCGTAGTGAATAAAATGTACCAAAAAATCACAAACTTGCAACATTATTCACATAACGCAATTTCAAGAATTCACAACACGCTATAGAACAACTTATAAGGACATATTCCACTTCAAAATCACCTAGATATGTAGTAATCTTAAAGAAACCCAAATCTTAGTCCCCTCACATTCTAAGGTTTTTGCATGAAACCCTAGACAAAGGAAGATATATGACAATTTAGTTCAAGAGATCTAAAATATGCAACAAACTCAAAATTAATTGTAGAATATGGTTAGAAATTGTTACTTGTTGAAATGCAGATAATACTTCAGATAGAAGAAGAGCTAAAAGGCGGGAGAAATGAATTCACTCAATTGGGAATCTAAAATCTGATTTACAAATGAAAAGAGGGAAACTATTAATATTGTGCTAACTAATAAGCCGAAATGAAAGACAGGTAAAAGACAAAAATAACCCTCAGCTAATTCAATAATATTTCAACTTAACACTCCCCCTCAAGATGGCAAGTGTATGTTTAACACTCCCATCTTGCCAAGAAGGAAGGCAAGTCTTGTTCCAGCTAGAGGTTTAGTCAGTAGGTCAGCCAATTGTAGCTGAGAAACGGTCTGCAACATCTTGACTTCATTAGCCTGTACTTTGTCCCTCACCAAATGACAATCGATTTCGATGTGCTTGGTTCTTTCGTGAAAAAGGGGATTGCTCGCTATGAGAATAGCAGATTGATTATCACAAAATAATAAGGCAGGTCTGGTATGGTTAATTTTGCAGATCATCCAATATGTTTTTCAGCCATGTAAATTCACAAACCGCTGCAGCCATTGACCTATATTTAGCCTCAGCCGAAGACCTTGATACAGTGTGTTGCTTCTTAGATTTCCATGACACTAGAGAATTGCCCAAAAAGATTCAATATCCTGTAGTAGACCTCCTTGTATCAGCACACACACACACACTGCCCAGTCAGCATCACAATACCCTTTAAGCTGAAGATCAGATTTGCTGGGGAAAAATAATCCTTGTGCTGGTGCATTTTTCAGGTACCTTAGCACATGATAGGCTGCCTTCAAATGAGGTTGTCTTGGAGATTGAAGAAATTGACTTAGAACTTGCACAAGATAAGATAAGTCTGGCCTGGTTATAGTCAGATATAGAATTCTCCCAATCAGCCTTCAATAAATGCTGGGATCAGTTACAGGTTCTCCTTCATCCTTTCTTAACTTCAAATTGCATGGCAAGGGGCTATTTGCTGGTCTAGCACCAAGAAATCCAGCATCAGTTAGAATATCCAATGTATATCTTCTTTGGCAAATTGATATCCCAGTAGAATTCCTTGCCACTTCGAGGCCCAAGAAAAACTTCAGAATGCCCAAGTCTTTAAGTTTGAATTGCTTATTCAAATCATCTTTAAACTGATTAATGTAAACCAAAGCATTCCCCCCAAGGATTATATCATCCACATAGATCAAAAGAATGGTAAATGAGCAGCCATTTCCCTTGCTAAACAATGAATGATCAGATTTTGATTGTCTGAAACCTTGTGACAGAATATAAGAGGTAAGCTTCATGTTCCATAGTCTCGAAGCTTGTTTTAATCCATAAATTGACTTGTTTAGCTTGCAAACCAGTCGTTCACCTTGCTTTCCCTGCTCATAACCCGGAGGCATAAGCATGTAAACCTCTTCAGCCAATTCACCATGAAGGAAGGCATTGTTTATGTCCAACTGATAAAGGTGCCATTACTTGGCAGCAGCAACTGCCAATACTGTTTTGACAGTAACTAACTTCGTAACTGGGGAGAAGGTCTCTTCATAATCCAACCCCGCTTGTTGAGTTAACCCCTTGGCTACCAAACATGCTTTCTTTCTTTCTTCTGTGCCATCAGAATTTAGTTTAACCTTGAAGACCCACTTGCAAGCAACAGGGGTCTTATGATCTGGAAGTATGGTTACATCCCAGGTATTGTTGGAAACTAATGCATTATACTCAACATCCATAGCAGCAATTCAATCAGGATATTGAGAAGCCTCAGTGAAGGTTTTGGGCTCAAAAATAGTGGACAGAGCCAATGCACATTTTCTGTGATGAGGTGATAACAAATCATACCCAAATGATCTTCAATGGGGTATTGCTTGCCATATTCATTATCCTTCTTCATGGATTCTGATTGAGGTGACAACTGAGACATGAGACTACAATGGTAATCTTTCAAGTATAAGGGAGCACATTTGACTCTAGTGGATAACTTTTCAAAAACTTGTTTTGGGGCTTAAAAAGTAACAATTTCACTCAAAAAAAGTTCAATAAAATGTACCAAACAATCTCAAACTTGCAACATTATTCACATAATGCAATTTCAAGAATTTACAACACGCTATAGAACAACTTATAAGGACATATTCCACTTCAAAATCACCAAGATATGCAGTAATCTTAAAGAAACCCAAATCTTGGTCTCCTCACATTCTAAGGTTCTTGCATGAAACCCTAGACAAAGGAAGATATAGGACAATTTAGTTCAAGAGATCTAAAATATGCAACAAACTCAAAATTAATTGTAGAATATGGTTAGAAATCGTTACCAGAAGATCAAAAACAAGTATAAAACAGTGAATATCAGGATATGTTTCATGCCTCCGATAAGAATCAAATTTAACCCTTAAAAATACCTATCATTAAAGATCTAGGGTTAAATCCCACAAAAACATTAGTAAACTTTATTCGAAGAAGATATCCTTTAGAGTGAAGGCTCTAATACCACTCTTTGGTCATAAAATGACCAATTAATAACTTCAACAAATAAAAGAAAGAATACCAAGATTTTTTCGTCCTAAATCCCGGATGTTCTGCCAAAAGGCCTACTCACCATTTTGAGCATCTACAGATATGGTTAACGTTCCAAATCCACTACCACAATCAAAGCATACAGGATTACATGACAATATACAAAGTATCAAACCAAAAAAAAAAAAACCCTCAAAAATA